AAAAAAAAGGTTGAAAAGTCTTCTGGATCGTGAAAAAGAAGATCTAGCAGAAGCTGAAGTTATAAAGGATTCCCCTGATTCTCCTGAACCACCCAACAAAAAGCCTCTTATTACAATGGATGAGATGCCCACAGTGGAAAAGGCAAAAGGTAAATCAGAAGAATTTCAACAGATAGTGTTTTCTTTTTAAAAGTTTAAATTTGTGTATCAGTCTGTATTTTCTAAAGTAGTTAGATGAAACTTCTTGGAGTTAACACTGAATCCATAAGAATTTATAATCAAGACATTGGGTGTTGAGATACACTTGATAAATACATATATCAACACTAACAGATCTATTCAGAAAGACAGATACTGAGATACTGAGTACTGTGTGTACTGATGATGGACATTTGCGTTTTTGAGAAGGGCTTTGGGCAAATTCCTGCCTGTGCTTACGTGAGTTATTGCACATGACAAATGGTATTTAAGAACGAGTACTAAAAATAAGCAGCTCGTGCTAATAATAAGGGATATGCCTGGGCAGTATAGTCGTTGGAAGGGGCAGTGCTCACTCACTTCTCTTCCTTGAACTGCTGTTGCCTCTGATGTGGCTCCAAATGCGGAGTCTTCATCACATCTCAACCATCATGAAATACTGCAGAGCAATTACTCATCTTGCCCATCTTTGCTTAGCCTCCATCATCAGGTTTTCTAACATTTGTGTCTACGGTACTGCCATAGTCTGCAGTTTCTTCAAAAATTTCATAATGATGTTCTGTTTAAGAATTCAGGAATTAAATCACTGTGATGCTTTTTAAATTTCTACCCAATTTTAGGGCCAATGTCCTTGCTGTCTTTATGGAGCAACAGGATTAATACTGCCAATTCTAGGAAACACCAAGAATTTATTGGTCGCTTGAACTCTGTCAACAACAAAGCTGAGCTGTATCAACATCTGAAGGAAGAAAATGGGTTTGTATCAATAAATGCATCGCTACAAATATTTTAGCAGTAGCTAATATATAGTATGAAAAAATGTTACTCTTGTCACAACATTTCAAAAGAAAACAACTCCTTAATCTTCGTAGATTGAAATATACGAATTTATTCCTTATGGAGTTTCTTTTTAAAGCTTTTTTAAAGTCTTTTTAAGTTTAGGTTCTCTTTCACTGAAGTCTG